GAGAGAGGGACATGAAACACCTCGTTAAAGAACTGCAGTCCCTGAAGTCTCTTGCTTGGAAACCACAGCAGTTAAATAGCTTTCAAGCTAGTGTAAATGTGTAGCATATAGGCATGCTCTTTTGGGAGGGAATGTCTGTAAAAACATAAAAGGATGTAATGTAGGGACGGTGTTCTCTGTGTGGCAAACCCAGAAATTCACTGCTTCTGCAGGGAGATTGGGAACCAGAGTGCAGAAGTGCACAAGGAGTGCAGAAGTGCACAAGGTAACATCTGCTGACTTCATCGTGAGAAGTGACTTGGCAGAGAGTCACGGAGAGATAAGAGGGTGAGCTGTCTGCACAACACATTCCTGATGTCTGTGCTTATAATGAGGTTACTTGTAACTTTCGATGTATATGAGGGAGGGAGGAGGGGGAAGAGATTCTTAATAAAAGGCTGTGGAGTGAGAACACTCAGACAGATTTCTGCAGAGCTGTTTGTGTCCCGTCGTTCTTTTGAACCCTTCAACCTTCAAATGTCCTATCGGGGGTGGGCCTTTAATAGCCATGGTTTAGGTACAAAGTGATATTAAATGGCTGCCCTCCAGGTGGCTGGTAGAAGCTGAACAGCCTCAACACACACAAACAGAACAAGAAGAAAGTGGTGATGGTGGGGGTTGGAAAGAGAGGAATGGGTGGCTGCTAATCAAGGAAGGGAGGAAAATAAATTACATTCCCCCAAATCATGTAGGTGAAATTCAAGAAGGCTTGCCTGATGACCGTGCTGTCGCTTCGCAGGAAGGGGATCCTTCATCTGAGGAGGAGAACAACTGGCACTTGATCGAAATCTAAGCAGGAACAAATGTTCTGTCCACTGTGGTGGATGGGCCGCTAGTGCGCATGCGCGGATGCGGGCATATGCCCACATGGGCTTGTTCAAAAGGTAAACAGGAACAAACATGCTATGTGCTGTGTTGGATGGGCTGTTATTGTGCAGGCACGGATGCAGGCCTATGCCCACGAAGCTTGCCCAAAAAGTAAGCAAATGAAGTGTGTGTGCGTGTGAAGCGTGTGAAAGCCTTTTAAGTATTTTAAGTGTTCGGGGCAGGAGCAAACTGGGAAGAGGTGTTCCTCCCCGGACCCAGCCCAATCCTTGGGATCTGAATCGGAGTGCTTTCTGAGTTGATGGCGGCATATAAAGAACTACTGATCATCTACTGAGTTGCTCTCATATCTCAATGTGTGCCTGAGCTGTAGAATAGCCTTTGAAATGTATTGGTACTGTGGGCGGGAGACCTGGGCCCAAATATCTGCTCACATAAAGGAAACATAGGGTGATTTTAGCCAAAGTGATGGGTCCCACACCTGCCCCCATCACAGGTTGTGAGATGGTACTGTGACATCTTCATTATCCATATATGTGCTCTTTTGAATGTCAGATGAAAATGCATCTGCAATAAATCCTGTATCCAATTCATATGGAACACCTGCAGCAAAATATCCACAGGAACACAGGGCTGGGGAAGAAGGTAACGTGGGCAGATCCAGCAACTGAAATTATGTGCGTTGGTGGTCAAGTCAACCCAATAAACTCATTATATCAACGTATGAACAGACATCACCTCCCTTCCCCTCCCGCATGTCAACTTTTAATCAAAAGTCTGCATTCCACTGATGGGGTGGGTGAAACCATGTGACTGGGAGGATTGGTAGGGGAAGAAATTTTGACTGGAGAGTTGAGGAAATCACACGATGGGAGGGTTTGTGCAGCCAGAAACAATGCCAGGAACTTAGGGATATGCACAATGGTTCCTTTTTTATATAACATTTTTTATTTTTAAAACAAACACATCAAAACAAACATAGAAAAAAGTGGGGTTTACAAAGTGTTTCTAATTATATCTATTAAAAGTGGTTTCTTGAATATATCCAACAATAATACAAATGGGATCATCCACGCAGACAATATATACACAAAACAGTATGTACACTGAACAAACCAAGAATTCTGTTAATATTTCAATAGAACTACAAGAATATAGAAAAGCAACGCACAGGAGGGAACCTGTAGTGCATATTTCCTATTGCTTATATGCTGGGAAACAGGAAACATCAGAGTTAAAAGGCAGGAACTCTTGGCAGATGTGGAGAGGTGTGCCTCTTGAGGAAATCGCCAGTGGATGCCCACACCATCGAGAGAGCTGATCGCACCTCCTGCCCCTCTCTGCAGTGCTTTTCACCCGCTTGCCTCGGTGGCAAGCAGCCCTCCCCTCCCTAAACTCCACCCTTGCAGGCTCCGCCCTCAAATCTCCAGGTATTTCCAAACCCGCAGCTGGCAACCCTGTCCAAAACAGAATCCTCAAAGGCAGCAGGGGCACAGGGGTAGGCCAGTGATCATAGCCCTGACGGTAGTTGTCCTCTTCTAGTGTCACATCTCTGTGCCTTCCCAGCTGCTCCCCTCGGTGCACATAAAGGTACAGCACATACAGGACACAAACAGCCAGTAATGAGGTCAGCACAGGCTTTGCTTTTGGAGACTTGGTAGGCTTATAACCCAGGTCAGGGTTCTCTGAAGCTGTCTAGCGCTCTAGGCAGTGAGAAGGGGGCTTTCATCTTAGGACAGGCATGGGCCGTGCAGGTGTCCAAGGAACTCAAGAGACCTGTCAGGGCCCAAATGAGTCACTGTGCCTTTGGCCCTCCCTGTTTCTGCCTTTGGCCACTGATGCATAGATGCACTGCTCAGAGACTCTGGCAGGATCAGCCGACGGCACGATTTTCACTTCTGCATAAGTGACTCTATCCTGTTCCGCTCCAATATTGGTTTTCATGGGCTAAAAGGGGAGAAGAAAAAACAGAAATGGGATTAGTCCTGTGATGACTTCATCCAGTGACGTTGCAGCAGAAACAGATGCGAATGCTCCAAAGAAATAAGAAAAGATTTTGAACGGGAGCTTCCAAAGAGGTGCAAATGGCAACTGAGGATGTGCCGAGTATAGCAATGCCCATAGTGGCCAATGCTGGTATTCAGTTTAACTGGAGACATTCAAGGTGTATCAGGTAAAGGTAAAGGTTCCCTTGCTCGAAAGCCAGTCGAGTCCGACTCTAGGGTTGCGGTGCTCACCTCCGTTTCAAAGCCGAAGAGCCAGCGCTATCCAAAGACGTTTCTGTGGTCATGTGGCCGGCATGACTAAACAGTGTTTGGGGGCTGGCACAGCGATCCATTTTCTAGGCTCAGAGGTCAGGATTGGTGGAAACAGTGCAGTGTAGGAAACTCTTACCGTGTTCACTGGTTGTTGTCTTTCTCTGACAGTGAAAGCTGTGGGTCAGAGAGGCATCATTAGATTCTTTTTTTTTTAATAACAATTTTTTATTTAGGATATAAACATACATGGTCAACAATTTACATTTTCTGTATTCTCCCCCATTACACCCTAACCCCCCCCCCTTATATATGGCTTCCCACAGTGCTTCA